AGCCAACTTGTGCACGTAGCGGCAACCTCGACCTTAGAAACGCGTGCCTATCGAAGCGCTTTAGCAAGATAGCCACTGGAGGACGCAATTCTCAACAGAAGCCAACAATAGTTCCACCCGCAGGGAATCTGGTAACCAGAAAAAAATCTCCCTCGCTCAGCTTGCTAATTCTTCTCCAGCTCTTCCCCAGCTCTCAAACTGGAACAAGTTCATGTTCAGATCTCGAAGACCACGGAACAACTGGACCGGAATTTGTTCCAACTTGGGGTTTCCCGTACCCCAAACCTAGCCCGACCCAAGGCTTTTTCAGCTTTCTTATAGTAGTATATTCATGATGGTTTCTTCGTTCTTTGCAGGTTCTAATCGCCATGGGTGTGTCCTTTGCTGGCGATTTGAACAATCTGATCTCATACGTGGCATTCGCGCAATGGTCTCAAAGAGCTTGCACCATGGGAGCTTTGGTGTGGATTCGTTTTCGGTAAGAGCAGTGCTCCTACAGTTGATGTATAGGTCACCCTCATATCGCTGTGGTTTTAGGCGTTGGCCCGTTCATCCCGAAAAGATTCGCATGCCCATTGTCATGCCGATCCTTTTCTGTATCATCTGTACTACTATGGTAAGTATCCTGTCACACTATAAAGTTGAAGTTATTGCGAAATCAATTCTGAGTTTCAGGTCGTCGTTACAATCATCGACAACTTCTCTTCGGCTTCTGTTGGTCTAGGTTGGTGTTCCTTTGTTGGGTTCTACCATAATAGCCCGTAATCGCAGCATCAATTGAATGGTTTATTGGTTGATAGTAAAGTACAAAATAGGGTGTTTACGTACATACGAGAAGTCTAGCACTTACGGATGCTGGGAGCGTGTCAAGGGGCTGGGTGTAACGCGTGCGCGACAGCCCGTTCCCCAGCTACTGCATGCGCTTGCCTCTTTACAGCCGCTGGAGAACTCGTTCGCCACGTGCCAAACCGGGTATGTGGCAAGAGAATCGTAAATCACCGCGCC